AAATATTTATGCTTCAGTCGAGACCCGTAACTAATTTAGACAACTCTTACACCGATTACGAGATTATGCATGAATTGGATTCATCTCATCCGACAGAGTTTGAGATCTACTCCCGGGCCCATTGGGGCGAAAACTTTCCCGGAGCCACCTCTTGGACAGCCCTTCAGATCCATTGGGGCAATAAAAGTAGTTTTGTCGTGAGTTAATCTTTTAGTGTTATTTTGTATGTAATAATCTTCATTCACATTCTCCATAGCGTCGAAGCTTAGCCATGAGACTTAGCACTGTTGAAGATTACAACCCATTTGTGGAGAACATGGGATGTGAATATAACCAGGTTATGTTTAATATATCCAATGTAAGTGTTTAGAAATGGATTATAGGATGAATTGCTTATTAATTACTCAATTCTATAAACAGGGTGCTATGACCGGATTCTTTGAGGGCTACCCTAAGTCTAAACCCGCAGTTTCTATGGTGTTAGCCTGGTTTGGCCATCATATTGAGGACAAGGATGTTATCAAGTGTTTTAATGATACCTCTCAGAATCGACCAAAACAGTCAATTATAAGCATATTTCAAAAACTTAATTTCTTTCTAAAGTCTCTCATATTTGGTCCCAAAAATTTAATTAAAACTAAAACTCAATACATGGATACAGAAAAATACAATTTCCTAAACAAATTGAAACACTATTCTAAACCCAAAGAAGTTTTTGATAAAGTTTTGGAAAATTATTTTGTGATAACAGAGATCGCAATGAGAAATCATGGGTTTGTCTCATTGGGCTCATCCATGAAAAATACTATATTGAGGACTAGTCTGGAAGGCGCTATGAGTAAGTTGTTTGTCATTATTATAAGTAAATTTATTTTACAAATGATTTTGAATAATCTTTATAGAGGATAATCCAAACCTGGAGTCAGATTTTAATTTATTGATCTCTTCGTGTACTGATGTGATCAGCGCTGAAGTGCCCAATAATTTGCGGGAAATCGCAAAGTCTATCAAAAATAAGGAATCCTTTAGACAATTGTCTGATGAGGAGGCGCTTCAAGTGTTAATTAAAGGAACCGATGAATCCTCCGCTAAATTCAAGCAATTTCTTGAACGNAATTGTCTGATGAGGAGGCGCTTCAAGTGTTAATTAAAGGAACCGATGAATCCTCCGCTAAATTCAAGCAATTTCTTGAACGCCACGGACATAGAGGGTATCGGGAGGCGGATGCCATGTATAAGCCATGGAAGGGAAACCCTATGCCTTGTATTAAAACAATTAAAGTAATTTAATTATTAATTTAAAACTTACAGTATATTATAATTAATACGTTATTATAATTGTAGACAATGTTATCTGGAAGTGGAGAACAATTAGAGCCAAAAGTTGAGAAATCTGTGGACCAAGTGTTGGATGAACTGAAGACTCCATTGACTCCAATCCGGAAATTCCTCATCAAAAACATATTCCTTCCGTACACTAGACGTGGTGTCGGATACAGAGAACTCTCCAAATATTTCATGATTTGGATGAATAACCACTTGAAGGATGGCTTTTGGTATTTGGCTCAACAGATGGCTAACGAAGGACTCATTCCTTCTGTCGATTCATTCTTCTACTTAACCGCCGATGAAGTGGAAGCGCTCTAAATTACAATACTGTATAGTAATGAAATGACAAACAATTATTTGTGACGTCAAAAATAAATGTCCAAGTTTTATTGTAAAATATTATGAATACATTATAATCATTAAATAATATAAATTCAATTAAAAAATCTATTAATCGTTTATAACATTATTTCTAAGTTTCAAAAGCGATAACTTATTCGTAAAGGAATGCAAAACAGATTAAGAGATTAACAGTTTTGGTGAATGAAACGAGAATACTGTATATATTTCATACAAAACGGGGTCTTTCGGGGTCTAAATCTCTTTTAATTATAGCCGCGCTGTCCGTCAAGTCTGTCCTTTGAGTCAATTGGAACTCTTCGATAGCTGTGGTGGCGATTGCGATGTCAGGGATCAGATCACTGAGAGTACGGCGCGATTCGTTGCTCGAGAACTACATGATAAACACAACGTTACAACAAATGACTCGAAATGAATGGTATATTAAAAGCAAAATCAATGGTATATTCAAAGCATTACCTGTGAGTCTAAATCGAAATGAGCCAAACGGGGAACAGAACTCTCGAGTTTGAGTTCACTAAAAGTGCTGTAAAGATCCCTGTCCTCCGGCAATGTCGTCATATTTGCTAAATGGCTTGTGAGAGGTCTGGGAGGGGGAGGAATACTGAGAGAACCGACTTCACTGGGCGCGTATGAGAGACGGGACACGGCGTCGTCCGGGGCTTCCAATGCTAGTGAGTAGTTGTTTCCGTGCAATACATCAGAGGCAGCGTCCGGGAGACCGAATTCCCGACACACCCGCAGCTGAATAAGTCTCAGTGCTTCGCACCGATTGGACACCAATGCAAGCGCTCTTTGGCTCAGACCTAATGCTTTCAACTCCTGTTCCCTTTGTTTCATTAGTACTACAACTCTGTCTTCGAGAATAGGCAGTTGTGGTCTGGAGTTGGCGTCGTGTATGTCCTCATAACACACCGCCGATGACGAAGACGATGAAGATATACAGAGATGGTAGTGGTCTGAGCCCAGGAAGCCGTCGTTCGCAGCAGTGATAGCCGACGCCTTATCCAACATATAGAGTGCGTCCGGAATGTGCGATATTTGTCGCGAAACTCGATTGGGAAGAGTCTCTCCCTGTCTGCCGACCCTCTCGTCGAGAATCGCTTTGGCCTCTTCGACATACGGCGCGAAATAACGCGGTCTCACGAAAGGACCCGTTCCTCGACCCCTAAACCACGACGATATTCCTCGCGATTGCGGCAGAACTGAGTCCTCGCCCAACATATACGGCGGAAGAGTACTAATGAGACCTCTTTTGGCGGCGTTCGACAGTATGTCGCTATCGAGTGGCAATATATGGCCGACTCTCACGTGACATATCAGATCCGATAGGATATCTCGGAGTTCGGTATCATTTAATTCTTTCTTTCGGATACCTCTTCGCAAACTATGGGCAGTGTTTGAGACAACATTTGGCTCCCTTTCCTCCATTCGCTTCATCAGACGATTTTCACCCCATTTGATGACCGCCTGCAAGACCTCGAGTTCGCTGGCGTTCAAGAAGTCTGACTTCAAAGCCTCGATTAAATGCGTTAACTCTAACTGACATAACAGTGATGACGAGGCGATCGACGAGAACTCCTCTCTCATAAAACAGAGCGCCTGTCGCTTAACCCATGGCGAGCCGTGTGGCTGTTCTGACCACTTCATGATCATTATAAATGTCTCCAAAGATAACGAATCAATGATTAAGTCTTCACAGCTCTGGACGAGGAAATCCAACTCAAGAAAGCGCGCGATTTCGTACAAATCCATCACTTCTTTCACTAACACTGTTGTCGACACCGAATTTGGGTTACAATGAGAGCTGTTATTACTATTGCTTCCGGCGTTTGTGTTACCGCTGATGGCACTGGCATTCGCTTCAGTATTGCACTTACAGACGCATAACTGCAACAAATGGTGCAATTCTGCCGAATCCCTGTACATCACGTGCAGAAGTACTCTCGCATACCGGCGCGGAATAATCGTCTCGTCCAACAATATCTTCGTCCGTTGGTTGGCATTGGAGGCGCCGTTCAATTCGCTGGTCTCGGCTTTCCTGCGCTCCTGGCGTTGGATGACTGACCTGAAGAACGGGGAACGGGCGGCCAGTATTGCGCGATGACATGAGTACTCGTTTTGATCACTACAGGCGCGACACTTCTTGACCGGTTGTGCAAAGTCTTTGATTTGTGTCGGAGAGAAGAGGAGCGATGCGTCGCTATAGAGACCCGTTTCCAAGAGGTGTTTGAGGTCGTGGGCCAAAGGGTTGGGAACTCCGCACTGTTCGCTAATCCGGAGCAACACATCGTAATTGTTTCGCGGATCGTAAGAACCGGACAGTTCTCCCGAATACAAGTATCGCAATAAGTCGTGAAACAGTTCCACTCGTAGGCCAGCGATGTCCAGATTGACCGTCACGTAACTGCCGGAAGGCTTTTTGCCCAACAGTTCCCGAAAGGCTGGACAACGAACGCAAACGATTGCTTTGTGGACCGGGAAGTGAACGCCTTTATAGACAAGCGTTATATCCGAGCAGTACTTGAAGTCAAATAACTCGCAGAAGTCGTTCTGAGCCGAGGAGGCCAGCGGTCGGGCGCTCTCCGCCAACAGAGACAACTCCTTCAGAAGACCCGAACACTCGTACTCTTCGCACAACTGTTTCGTGTCTCTCGTAGTCCACGAAGAGATCAGATCTCGGAGAGCCTGCGAGTGATCAAACGTACGACTCGTGCGTCTCTTCCGGACCAGTCTTTTGCGAAGTGTTGCCAAAGACGACAAATTCTTGCGCTTCTTCTCCTTCGTGGGCACGATATTAGTGAGAGAGCCGTCGGTTGTCGTCCCATGACTTCCGTTACCGCTGTCCGAGAAAGAGGTCCACGAGTTGACCGTCTCTTGTGATGTCGAGTTCATCGATGGCACCGTCGATGTCATCGAACTCGCGGACGAACCCATTTGTGTGGAACTGTTGGCACCCATTGTGTCCACACTTTGTGTCAACGATTCCCACCAATAATTGTCTTATTAATGGATTCAATTGATATTCACTTCAATTCATAGCTAATCACTGCAACAATCTGTCAAATATGGGAACAGATGAGTGATAATGATTTATGCGTTGAATCCATGGGTTGGCCAATGAGTGCACTCTTTGGCGAGTGTTGAGAGAATGGAAGCGATGGATGTGATGGAAGTGAGTCTTGGAGTCAATGCAATCAACTCGGAGTCAATGCATTGAGAGCTGAACTATGGCTCAAAAAGTAGACATTTTGCCAAAACATCAGTAATTACTCTATTATTATATACAGAATACACTCTTCACTGCATTACACATACGGTTACACTGTTTGTACACCCAATGCACACTTATGTCTCCCATCACACTATGCATATATGTGGAGGCCATTAATGGCATCATTCATGAAACAATCACTTTATTGAGTGAATTGCATAGAAAAGTGAAGTGAATGGTATCACTGATGGCACCCATGAATCTAGTCATTTGCATGGCTGTCCTAATGTTTGCACTATAATCTAGGTCGTTTGCATTTATTTCACATAAATTACATCCAAATAAGTAAAAAACTACAGTTTCTAATGAGTTTTGTATTTAATTCATGAAAATAATGTTTTTTAATAGCTTCGTAACACAATGTAATTAAAAAACTATATTAATATATGATTTCTGTATTAATGGTCTGATTCTTCATCGGAATCGCTCTCTTTGTCCCAATCCTTCATCTTAGCGCCGATCATGAAGTCATCCCTCAATACTCTCCACTTCTGCTCTTCAGTATCCTTTTTGTCCGATTCATTGGATTTATTGCTCTGAAAAACACACAATATTTAAAACTCTGATTAAAAGCATAACAAATGATTACTTTATTTGAATTATCCTTTTGTTTAAGTTTATCGAGAAATTGGTTTTTATTGAATTGAGTCATCATTTTGTCTCTTCTTGTCTCCGAAGAGCCGACTTCATTGAGTTTGCTTTCGATGGCTGTCTGTTGCTGTCGGACAGCGTTGAACAGTTGGACCACACCTTTGGTAGCTATCGAACACAACAGCCGTTCCCTATCCCTGTCCTCGGCTTTGGGCTTCAGTTTGTTCATCACTTCCCACTCGACTTTACTTAACTTTGACTTATTTCTACCCTTCTCTCCAACATTTGCTTCAGTTTTTTGTTTTTTAGTCTTTTGCCAACTCTTGACAACAGTTCCATCGGTTCCCACAATCTCTAAGTCATCTGTGGTCTCATCTACTTGTCGTTTGAGGTCTTTATCTTTTTTAGCTTTCGATAAAATAAATGATTTGTTTTTGGTCTTAACGGACAGCACTTTATTGATAGCGTCGGCCCATCCGCTGTTGGTCTCCGTCTTGGATGTGGTGGCGGAGCCCTCAATGTCTTCGGCAATGCCGTCGAAATCGCTATCATTGGCACCATTAATGTCATCCAAATCTAAACCCGATTCAACCTCTTCGTCACTCGACAGTACATTATTGACCACAACTTTACTCTTTTTGACAGACATTTGCTTTTGTCTTAATCTCTAAACCAATGATAATGTGAATGAAATGACAAACAATTAAAACATATAAATAAAAGACAATCAATTGAATGGCATTTCCGATGCAATCATAGAAAACATGTTTACATAACATGTGTCACAGTGTGTGAGACATGTGTTTGCGAGTCACGTGACTCTCACAACACCTACACTATTGTTGTCATGAAATAAACAAAACTTTTAAAAGGACTCAAAGTTCGTGTCATTTGAGACACAATTACGAGTGAAACCACAAAATGTTTGCTTTTATTGATTACTATTTGTATGATTGATATCATAAGGTGAAGACATGGATCAAATGAGTGATATATTGTGTGGTGAACACCAGTTCCCGGTGTATAACCGGACAACCCATGACTCGATGTGGTATCTAACCGATTGCTTCACACATTTGGTGATAATTAGTCCCATCTATACATTACTGGTCATTATGTCTTCACTATTGATTGGCTGGACATCAGGTCTGAGACATTCATACAATTCAAGCAATCATTTACTCAAAAGATTCATTCAAATACAAGTGTTGATCGTTTGTCTCATTGTTTGCATTGTTTTCATCGACTTAATGGTCATTACATTGAATTCAAATCAATTGATTGCTATCTATATATCAAATACCATTCAAATGACAGCACTTTTAGTGCACTTATTTTATTTGATATCAATCTTAAGCTCAAATACTTTGTCAAAAGCCAAGCCAATAGTCATTGCTATCAATATTACAGTCATTTTGGTAATACTCTCGTATGTGAACCAAATCTATACACTAATTGTAAAACAAGACTATGTTTTGCATCAATTGGTGTGTTATGTAATAGTTATGACTCTTTGGACCATTTATTTGGCTATAAATTCACTGATTTGTAAAGTATTGAAATCACGCGAAGACGAGTCCGAAAGGCATTTGATTGACGGAAGCGAACAGATCTCTAATATATCCATAACTTGTCATACAATTGACAATCAGTTGTTAAATGAAGAGAGCGCTGACATTATCTCAAAGATATTCTTCAAATGGGTGTCACCACTGATGAAGAGGGGAATCGAGAGGAATATTTCTTCGCATAACGATGTGTTTCGACTCCAAAATGATATTCACGCCAATAATGTCTCCCAAAAGTTTGATTCTGTCTTTGCGTTGAATCCAATGACTAGTGAAGACACGTCGACCACAAGTGGCAAAAGTAATTCATTATTGAAATCAATGTTCAAATGCTATGGATTGGAGTTATTATACGTGGGATCTCTTAAGTTGGTGAGCGATATCTTTTCATTCGCGGGTCCACTCCTACTCAACCAAATCGTCCAATACCTGGAAAGTGATGACCGCAACAGTTATAATGGATTTTACTACTCATTGGCCCTATTCTTATGCACACTCGTGTCGTCCGCATCGATCAGTTTATTCAACTTTTATATAAACAATATTTCACTCAAAATCAAGAGTTCTATCATAACAACGATTTATAAGAAAATATTTAGCGTCCGCTCAAACACTTTGAACTCACACTTCAGTACCGGAGAGATATTGAACTTCGCGAGCACTGACACCGACCGAGTGGTCAACTTCTGCCCCTCTTTACTACAATTTATAAGTCTTCCCATTCAACTGTCAGTCACTCTATACCTACTCTACCAACAGCTAGGCCTAGCATTTGTCACTGGAGTTGTCTTCGCTATAGTTTTAATTCCTATTAACCGATGGATTTGTAACAAAATTGGGGTTTTAAGTGCAACAATGATGGACTGGAAGGACAAACGAATTAAATTAATGAGTGAAATAATTATGGGGATTAGAGTCATCAAAATGCATGGCTGGGAGGATCTGTTTTGTGAACGCATTCTTCACTTACGAAACAAAGAGGTTCAGTACCTTAAGGGAAGGAAATATTTGGATGCTTTCTGTGTATACTTTTGGGCGACAACTCCTATACTCATGTCTTCACTTGTTTTCGGGACATTTGTTTTATTGGGCGGCAACTTGACCGCTCCGGTAGTCTTCACAAGTCTAGCGCTTTTAGCAATGCTTATAATGCCTTTGAATGCCTTTCCATGGGTTTTAAATGGATTAATGGAGTCTTGGGTCTCCATTAAAAGACTACAAAAGTTATTTGATTTGTATCCGTTAGAAGTGGACAAACATTACAATCATATGATTACTGAGAGTGACCGCAAAGTGGAAGCAATCGGTGTGTCATTCAATTCGTCGGAATCCAATAGAGTCCAGACAGACGTCACCTATCGTTTCACTTTAGGTCCAATTGATTTGATTTTAACGAAAAATATGTTTATTGGAGTAATTGGTTAGTGTTTTGTGATTACTTGAGTCGTAAGTTTGAATAATTATTTATATTGAAGGCAAAGTCGGGAGCGGAAAGAGTTCTCTCATAAACGCAATGTTAGGCGAAATGCAGAGGATTAGTGGAAAGCTTGGGATCAGTAAAAGTGATTTTGAATCGGGAATAGGAGTCGTAACTCAAGACCCTTGGATTCAAAACACAACACTCATGGAAAATATTTTATTTGGAAAGCCTTTTAATTCCCAAAGATATCACTTAGTTTTGGAGGCCTGCGCTCTCATTGACGATATCAATGTATTTGATAAATTATTTTTTAAAAGTTATATTTTATTGAATTGAATTGAATTGTGAAAATTACTGTATATTAAAACCAGTCCTTCACTGACGGCGATCTGACAGTCATAGGCGACAGAGGAGTGACATTATCTAATTACAATCATATGATTACTGAGAGTGACCGCAAAGTGGAAGCAATCGGTGTGTCATTCAATTCGTCGGAATCCAATAGAGTCCAGACAGACGTCACCTATCGTTTCACTTTAGGTCCAATTGATTTCATTTTAACGAAAAATATGTTTATTGGAGTAATTGGTTAGTGTTTTGTGATTACTTGAGTCGTAAGTTTGAATAATTATTTATATTGAAGGCAAAGTCGGCAGCGGAAAGAGTTCTCTCATAAACGCAATGTTAGGCGAAATGCAGAGAATTAGTGGAAAGCTTGGGATCAGTAAAAGTGATTTTGAATCGGGAATAGGAGTCGTAACTCAAGACCCTTGGATTCAAAACACAACACTCATGGAAAATATTTTATTTGGAAAACCTTTTAATTCCCAAAGATATCACTTAGTTTTGGAGGCCTGCGCTCTCATTGACGATATCAATGTATTTCATAAATTATTTTTTAAAAGTTATATTTTATTGAATTGAATTGAATTGTGAAAATTACTGTATATTAAAACCAGTCCTTCACTGACGGCGATCTGACAGTCATAGGCGACAGAGGAGTGACATTATCTGGTGGACAAAAAGCTAGGATATCGTTAGCGCGGGCTATATATCAAGATTTTGACATTTATTTTATTGACGATCCGTTTGCCAGTGTTGACAGTCATGTGGCCGAACAGATATACAACAAATGCATTTGTGGTCTTTTGAAAGACAAAACTAAAATATTAAGCACTCATCACCAGAAATACCTCATAAAAGCTGATCTCATATTAAAGTTAGATTCGGGACAAATCATGACATCCGGTTCACCTGAAACGGTGCTTAAGATTAAAGACAAATCAAAGGAACACAAAAAACAAAGTGGAGATATAGATGAGGTTGAAGTGGACAATGAAAATGAGTTGAAATTAAGGGAAGAGGAAAGGGAAGAAGGAGTGGTTAAACTGGATATATATCTAACTTATGTCAAATCTGTTGGCCTCTATCTCTCCATTTTTATATTATTATCCATTTTATTGATGCAAACGTCCAAAAGCGCGTCCGACTGTTGGCTTGCATTTTGGACGTCAAACAATCTGTCGGATATGAGCTCAAAACTGTCCACATATTATCTGATAGTCTTTGGATGTATTGCTGCCATCAATTCAGTGCTGACTCTAATCCGTTCGTTTATCTTCGCTTATGGAGGAGTGATGGCAGCGCTTAGACTTCACTCACAATTATTGCTGAAAATATTTCGAGCTCGGGTTCTCTTCTTTGATTTGACCGCTTTTGGCCGAATCATCAATAGATTCTCGTCCGATGTGTTCAATGTAGACGACGGCCTTCCCTTTACACTCAACATATTCTTGAGTCAAATGTCTAGTTTGTTGGCTTCACTAGTCATAACAGTGTATGGCTTGCCATGGATTGCATTCCTGGTTATTCCCCTGTCGATTCCTTATTATTTTATTCAAGTGAGCAGTGATTTTGATACATTACTCTTTAATGATAACTCTATTAACATATCAAACATTTAGCGCTATTATCGATGGACTTCTAGAGAACTGAAAAGGCTTAGCGCTGTTTCTCTCTCTCCTATATATACTCAGGTATACTCTTAAGAGCTTTGACTATAGAATCTATACTATAGATTCTATAGTATAGATATTCTTTAGTCAATTAACTTATTAGTATTTGTACTCAAATCTGTTCATTAAACTGAAAATTCTTGATCAGTTGGACGAAACACTTCACGGTTTGGTTACTATCAGAGCATTTGATTAACATATCAAACATTTAGCGCTATTATCGATGGACTTCTAGAGAACTGAAAAGGCTTAGCGCTGTTTCTCTCTCTCCTATATATACTCAGGTATACTCTTAAGAGCTTTGACTATAGAATCTATAGTATAGATATTCTTTAGTCAATTAACTTATTAGTATTTGTACTCAAATCTGTTCATTAAACTGAAAATTCTTGATCAGTTGGACGAAACACTTCACGGTTTGGTTACTATCAGAGCATTTGATCTATGAGTTATAATAAGACATAACTGTAAGACATGGGTTTGGTCTCAAAGAATAATATAATTTCATTGAACTGATGGCTTGAGTAAGAATTATATGATATAATCACTAATGGAAAGCAACCAAAACTTAACGAATTGACTTAAAACACAAATAAATCAGTGATGACTGGAATTCAGTTTTGATTGTTTATATAACCATCAATTTATGAATAAATTATAAATATTTGTATAAATGATTGCAAGAATGCAATACAACTCCATTAGTCGTTGATGTGAACTGCTTTTTGGCTAAAACTGCAAACTTTAAGAAAATATTCAAATATTAATAAGTGAGGCCTCAGAGCACGGGATACTAACATGAATCGATAATTTTGGTTATCTTATTATACAAATTATACACTCGGGACAAAGGGATATGCCGTTGTAGAACAGTAGGTTAGGAAACGGTATTTATCGTATTGTTACTCTATATGGCGTGCAGAGTAATGTTTGTTAAGTTAACTTAACCACAAAACAGTCAAACCTTTTAATGTCAGTCAAAAGAGATTATGTTCTGTACTTCAGTATTGATCTAATCAATAAAAATTGTTTTCATCCAATCTATTAGTCAACAAATTTAATTCTGTAATTTTTCGTCATTTCAAATAGATTTAATTGATTTTTAATTTTATTCATAAAATAATCATTGCATATATCAATTATACAATAATATTGTAATTAATCAACAATTTCTCACAAAAGTGCAAAACCATATAAATTATAAACTATGTTAGTTTTATATTTAAACTATAAAATTTTCAAAAATGTTTAGTATATTGAAATTTATTTTATAAACAGAGATAAGTGTTTCAATAAACATTTAAACAAGCAATTAATTATTTATTACGCCTTTGGCTAAAAGTAATAATAGGAGTTATAATATGAAAATTGAGTTCAGATTATACGAGATATAATGTAAGATGAAAACTTTAGTCTCATCTATTATAGAGGCTATAGAATAGAGAGTTTGTGTCACTCATGAGAGCATCTGGTGAACCAATTTCGGCGACCCTTCCGCCGTCCATAACAATAATTCGGTGACAATTGAGAACAGACTCTATCTTATGGGCGACAAACAGAACGGTCGCAGAACTGAACACATTTGTCAGCGTTTGTTGAATCAGTTGTTCAGTGTTGGAGTCAATGCTGGCGGTCGCCTCATCCACACAGAGCACCGATGTCTTCGTGAGCAAAGCCCTCACCAAACAAAGTAGTTGTCTTTGACCACAACTCAGGTCTCGTCCCCTTTCGCTTATGTTTGCACTCAAACCGCCGAGACTTAGAACTAAATAAACTTTAGGATTAAGTATTGCTCATCAATTCATGTCTACTCTACCCATACCGAGAGACTCCAAATGACATTCTCTAAGCGAATGCCAAATCTCATTATCAGAGTATTGACTTCGAGGATCTAGATTATCCCTTATTGAACCACTAAATAGAAACGGATCCTGAGGTATAATGAATAGTTTGGACCTAAATATAACAAATGCTGATAAGTATTGTGTACAGATTAACGCAAACAAATCTCTCACAAATAAATGAAATCAAAATAAATTCACTGCTATTACAAGGTACACTGTTATATAATAAGTTATTCAATTATCACCAAGCTGTAAGATTAGTATAATTCTTCTGTAAATTCAATGAATACAATTTACTCAAAAATCAATATTTTCCAGTCAATGAATAAGAAATATGTGAATCAGTCTCATAAATACAGTTTTAATTCAATTGACCAGTCTCAGACTAAGAATGTCTTCAAACGTATTAAGTATAAGTTATTAAGTGATTAACCATGTTATTATTTACTTAATAAATGACATAATATTAAACACAATCACTTTCCAATAAATAGCTTTCATTGTATTTACAGAATATTCGTACAAATCTTACAATTTGTACTCTACTTAGACTTAGTTCATCGAAAGACAGCGGAGTGCTTATAAATACTGAATAACAATTCTGTGCCTTACAGTAAATGTTGTATTTCTGTATACTATACAGTAAATTTACATTACACTCAAGAGTCTGGCCCCTAGACATTAAAAGTATATTGAATTATACAATATATAAAATTATAATATATTAATTGGTAAATTTTCAGTGAATTAATTCAAAAGAATTAAACAGACATTTAGTTGGAGTGAAAATCAATGAAACACTTTTAACTAAAATCAATAGAAAAATATTAAAGAAATAAGATTTGAAGCAAATAATAAAAAGTTGATAAACAGAATTGATTAGTAAATGGCGTGACTGTTATGCGAATTGCAATCAATTCATTGAATTATATACTTTGTATTACAATAAAACGTTTTGATTAATAAATAAATAAACCATTTCTTACAGAGTATAATGCAAAGGTTTGAAGACAATGAAATGGCAAATACCTTAACTTCTTTAGACTCAAACTGGAGATATCGATGCCATCAATGGTTACATTTCCTTCTTCTACGTTAACCAATCGGAATAAGACCTGAAATAGACTGGATTTGCCGGAACCAGTGCGACCTCAACGTACAGTATAACAAGACAATAGATTTCAGTTAAATAAACTCAAAGTTATACGGAATTGTGTGACACTATTGAGGCATAACTCTTATCTATACCTATAATTCCGATCTTTTCTGAAGCATTGGAAGTGAAAGAAACCTTTTCTAACGCTAAACGCATATCTAAACGATAACGCATTGATATGTTATTGAAGCAAATGATGCCTTTGTTGGGCCAGTGATCTAAAGAAGCCATATTTTGCTGGTCTTCACCATCTATTGACTTTTCCTCTTCTATATTATTAATGTATTGCATAATCCTTTCAACTGAAACCATATCCATCTCTGTCTGTGTGAACGACTGGACCGCTCCGTTCAAAAGTCCAGTCACTGATAGTGAATATACGAGCGCTAATCCAACTAAACCCGAGTCTATTGTCTGATAAGACCAGAAGTGTAGGCTTACGGCCAGCAGTGCAACACCCGATGATATAAGAGCTCCCAATAACTGCAACCGCAGATTCAACCACTGCTGCACTGCGGACGTCGAGTATTGGATTTTGTTATTAATGTCTAACTTATGATACATGTCTCGAGTAAATCTGTTTTTAAACAAAATCATTCTCAACTTTTATAAAGAGACTTGAAAGAATTAATCTTTATTCAAATGAATATTACGGTAAAACTTATTTAGTGAAATACCTGTTAGTATTAGCAAATGCTCTGATAGTAACCAAACCGTGAAGTGTTTCGTCCAACTGATCAAGAATTTTCAGTTTAATGAACAGATTTGAGTACAAATACTAATAAGTTAATTGACTAAAGAATATCTATACTATAGA